GGATTTCTTCCAGGAACCCCAGTGGATGCTTAAAATAATGGATAGTATCAAACCCTATATATAATCATTTTCCCACACATACATTCCTGTGATAAAGTTGAAAATGCTCACCTTTTTACTTAAAGAATTATTTTTATGCTGGATGGCGCATGCCTGTAATCCCAGTGACTGGGGAGGCTGAGGCAGGAAGACTGTACCTCAAAGCCAGCCTCAGCAACTTAGTGAAGCCCTAAGACACTTAGCAAGATCCTGTTTCAAAATAAAAACTAAAAAGATCTGGGTATCAGGCTCAGTGGTTTAGCACCTCTGGCTTCAATTCCCAGTGCAAAGAAAAAAAAAAAAAAGAACGTCTCCAAAGAAGAATATTTTATGACTTCTCCTTTGTGTACATGAATTGCCATGAATTGCCAGCATGATTATTCTTGTGCTTTGGAGTCACTATTAAGCAAAATAAAGGATATTTCAGCACAGCATTGTGATACCATGGCAGTCCACCTGATAACTGAGATTGCAGCTTAGGGACTAATGGACAAGTAGCATATCCAGTGTGGATATGCTGGACAAAGGAATGATTCACATCCCAATGGGGGGTAAAGCAGGACCGTGTGAGAGTTCATCATACTATTCAAAACAACCCTCAATCTAAAACTTAGAAATTATTTTTGGAATTTTCCATTTAATATTTTAGATGGTGGCTGATGGTAGGTAACTGAAACCAGAGGAAAGTAAAACCACAAATAAGGGGGTACTACTGTACTCATGCTTTTATTTCGAATTACATTTTCAATTATTGCAATTACACACTCAAATTATTCATCCATCCATTCAATTTCTCCCTTTGCTCCTCAAAATTATCAATTGTAAATTAGCATTAAGATCTTGAGTTAGTCTCTCATGCCTCCTGTGTCCATGCAGTATCAATCCAACAGTATGACCTATCTCAAAGACTCACTGCTGTTTGCAAAAGAGTCTGGTTAACAAGTTGAACTTCATGAGAGGTCAGATTCCAGAAAGAGGCAGTGACCCTGATTTCAGAATAGGAGTTCTCACTGGAAGTTCACAAACTCTTCCTGGATCCTGTTTGCTCTCCTTGGCTCAGTATTGCCTGGTGTTTTCTTGCCCAATCTTATCTCAGGTCACTCTCCCCTCACTTGTGTGCTCTTGTCCTCAGTGCAGTCCCTGAACAAGCCTGGGTGGACTTTGCTTCAAGGAGTTTTGCACAAGCTGCTCTCTTTCCCTGAAATCTCTTCTTCCAGATTCTCTCTGGACTGGATTCATATTAAAAGTATGTTTAAATGCCACCTCTACAGAGCAGCCTCCTCTGACCTGCTGGTCACACCCCTTTGCACCATCCTCAGGTGTTAGAATTTCTTGCTTTTGAATGTTTTCTGTCTGACTCTCCTTAGATCTAGGAAAGGACGTTATCTATTTAATGATTGAAGCCCTTAAGTCTTCATACTTCCTGAATGACTGAGTATCCCCTTAAATATGAATAGGTCTAAAAATAAAATTATTTGGGCAGAACACTTGAAATTATGTGCATATATATTTTATAGCTTTATAGTCTTATTTCTAATATATAATTATCAGAGTTTGCATATTATCTCAGAGAGATTACATTTATCTTCTGAAATATTATTTCTTTATACAAACTAAAACTAAGCTATATTTAATATTTCATATTTTTTAAATACAGGGTCAATACTAGGACCACTTATTTCAATAGTATCTGTGAAACCTTTGCAAAATTACATTAGCATCTGTTACAAAAATTCGACAAATATCACCCCATATCTTTTACTCCATCTGTAACAAATCTAAAGGATTTTTTTTTCTGGACTTAAAAATATATGTTTTCTTTGCCAAATGTGTGTGTGTGTGTGTGTGTGTGTGTGTATGTGTGTGTGTCCTAATATATTTCCCTGAACATGTCTTGCTTCCAAGAGCTTTAAGGCAAACCAATTCAAACATATTGTAACCAGGTCCCCTTCTGTTCTCAAAATCATCTAATTATTAAGTTTTAGGCGAGCAAATAGTAACTAAGTCACTTTCAGAATCAATGAATGTGAAGGACCACCTCCATAAAACAATACACATATGCAAAAATATACATATATAGCCATCCCTAGCGTCTTCAGGGAGGGGATCAATTCCATGAACTCCCTGGGATACCCAAATCTGCAGATGCTCAATTCTTTCATGTAAAATGACATAGTATTTACATATAACATATACATATCCTCCTTTATACTCTAAATCATCTTTAGACTACTCATTATGCCTAATACAAAGTAAACATCATGTATATATTATACCATATTGTTTAAGTGTGTGTGTGTGTGTGTGTGTGTGTGAGAGAGAGAGAGATGAGTGACTATAATTTTGGTAGATTCATAGACTCTACCAAGTTTATTAACTAATCCAAAGTAAGAGCATCTGCTTTAGAGAAGATTGTTATCTTATCCTCAAGTGTTTTCATTTGTATAATTTGTAATCAGTCCGTAAATTTTTAAGAAAGAACAAAGGATCTGACTTGAATTCAAGTAAGTGATTTCAGCTTTCTATGAATCTGTCTTATCAAAGACATCACATAACCTTGAAAACAAGGTTGAGAAGGCTAGATAACTTATTATTCAATCTTTATTCATTTCCACAATTATGGATACACACAAAGTTATAGCCCCAAAGGGATAAAGATGAAAACCACTAGAAGGTCTCTGCAAGGTGTTATAGTTTTTGTCCTACTGTTTAAGATTCCACAATAATTGTCTCAGTTTGGAGCAAACAGATAATAAACCATGTTCTTTCTCAAAGTGGCCAGTGAGTTGGACTATTGCTAGCACAGTGACAAGTAGGTTTTCATTATTTTGAACACTGATAAAATGAGTCTCGTGAGTGTTCTTCCCAAACTAGCATATGCCCTTTATTATGAGCATGTCAACATTGTTACAGATGCAAATCTGTCTTGCTTTAGAATTGACTAATCTCATTACCTGTACTTTGAGAAAAAGTATATTACATGGTGGATTTTCCCAGGTTGACTAAATTTGAATCTGTATACTAACTTACACTTTATTGTATGTAATCCTTAAACTTCATATAAACGTAACAGATGATATTTATCTTACCATTATTTTATGCATTTTAAAATATTAAACTTTGAAATAAAATACATTTCTAAGTTAATAAATAGGGCAATCAAAACCTTTATTTTTCTCATTTGACTGAAATAATAAACCAAATGAACAAGAATGGTAAGAAAAGAATAAACCATTATTTCTCAGAAGGTAAGGTCTAGAATACTATGAAAAAAAAATGCACCTTGCTAAAAACTAAATGGCAGAGTCAATGCATTTACCTTTGAAAAGTGAACTATTCATTGTCTTCAGGCTTCCACTTAGGATCTTAGACTGGGAGTACATAGTCCCCACACAGATGATCTTCTGGTTTTGTAATGAAAGAAAATGGAAGAATCTCTCTGGAAGGAAAACTTAGGTCATTTCTTTCTCAAGCCAAATTGATTCCACAGTGTATGTGGAGCACATTAAGAGTTCTATCTTTCTTTGCAAGAGTAAAAACAGGTTCCAAGTAAAATAGTCTAGTTATTATAAAATCAAAAATAAGAATGGAATATTTAAAATTATAACTCACTTAACCAGTGAAAACTGAACACATATCTTCTTTAGTCAGGGATTTGCAGTCACATTTGCATATTATATTTAGCCAGCAACTAAATTTTAATTTTTAAGTAGGAGACATTTAAATATAATTAGCAGCAAATAACAGAATGACAAAGCTACAAAAATTCATGAAGTTCAAGGGAAACAGCATCCTTTAGCCATACCAAGACATGTTCTCCCAAGAAAGTAGGAAAGGAAGGGGTCTGCTTCACTTTCCTCATGCTGGCCTCCAAGGCAGAATTTCTAGAAACAACATTCCTTTCTGATGATAGAATAATGATGACAGAGGAGTAGATGTCAAAACCAGAGTATGCATTCTTCAGAGTCAAGAGACTCTCAAACCTCAATAAACACCAAAGGTATGTTCAACATAGTAAATTCCAACATAGCATACACATAACAAAGCTCATTTATCAGAGACAGATACAATTTTGAATATGCATTTTTCCAGAGGAAAGCAGAGGACAACAGAGACCATCTGCAGCTGTCAAACCTGTGGAAGTGAAACAATGCACTGCAAATTTATACAATATATGAATTATAAATGAAAAACAAACACTATTAAAAGAAGTTGGTTGGTGGCTCAACATATAGACATTCATATGTATATATTTTATATAGCATGATAAAAATCAGCTTGCATGAAGGTTGTAGTATATCTACTTTGAAGTTATATCACAGGTACTATAAGCAATTTACAGAATTTGTTGGGTTTGCATATACAGGAATTGCAAAATGAATTGAAATATAGAACACTGAAAATGTATTTATATAAACCTCCCAGGATTGACGGGGATTGGCCATTATCAGCACTTGCCACCATTGAACAAGAAAAAGAAGAAAAAAAACAATCCAAGAAAAAAGAAGTTTAAAAAAAAAATTCTTTGATTATTCCTCGTTTAAAGTAATGTTCTCCTTGTTGACTCAAAATGTTGATAATTTTGCCCACAAAAGGGTTTTTTTTTGTTTGGTGATAGTTTGTGTTCTGTTGAATTTTGATCTCTGTTTGCTTCCTGCAGATAGTGGGTCCTTTAGTAGGAAATCAGTGGTATCCATAGTAAATATTTACTATACCGATGACTTTCAGGCCAACCCCTGAGCAGTCAGTGAGATGATGAATTTTTTTTTTATTTTTTGTTTTTTGCGGAAAGAAAAGGAAAAAAAAAATAGATCTTGCTATTAGAAAATGTCCTATCACTTCACACTAATTGTCTTGAAAGAAAAGATCAGGTGTGATTTGCCAAAGAAAATATTATCAACAAAGCATGTGATAGCCTCTTCATTTATGGTTCCGGAAGCAGGCGCTCCTTGTGTAGGTAATTAGAGTACAGAGGGTGCGGAATGATGCTTGGAGTTTAGGGTCAACTTTGCTGTCCGCTCCGTAGATTTTACAGGCGATTTGCTCTTTGCTTTAAGAAGAGAAAGTGATATTGGAAAAAAGTCAGCACTTTAGATTAAAGCAAAGCACCCTTCACAAAGCCACAAACAAGAAGCAGGACAGAAAGTCCATGGCTTGTAGCTATCCTCGCACCTGCGGAAGAAGTTATAAGATATTCGCTCATCTTGAAGATTTCCAATGCTCCTTATTAGGCTGTTTTAAACACATACATATATATATTTAATTAGCTCGCCAGCTTGGCTCTGGTGCTCATGAATGTCTTGGCATGCACTGCAAATAACAACACATACAAAGTATTTCAGTCCCAGGAAGTTGGTGGCGTTTGTTTTGTCTGTTTTCAAACAATGCCATCTCATGGTAGGGAGGTCTGAGAAGAATCCAAATACATTCCCTCAAGGAATTCCTTGAGAATCATTCCCTATAATCATTTACTTGTTCCTATCGTGGCATCTAAAATCACATGCCCCCTTGTCCTAGAATTAGCATAAAACCACAGGAAAAGCAGAAAAACTGACAGCAGCAGGCTGCTCAACTGGGAGAGGGGGATGCATTGGAGGAGGTGCCTCTGGGCTTTACATTTAGGGTCAGATCTTTCTCAGTTACCTGTCCTTCAAGTTGGAGGAGGTGTTAGTACTATCAAGAACTAGAAATTCTTGAAAGAGTTCCATCACTATCAAAGGGGAGGAATTAAATTGTACTTTTGAATTTTTTTTCCTTCACATATTCTCTCCAATGAACTACTAGGTATGAATGACATACAGAACAAAATGTCATTTTGTTAGTGAAAAAAAAATGCAATGGGGCATAGAGCCTTTATTTTCTGTCTTGATGGGAGATGGGTAAAAAGACTTTGAAGGGAAATAAGCATGGGGAAGCTCAATTTTTAAAATATTTCAGTTAAATCATGTTTGATTCCATAGTGGCAATGATAAAAATTGTGGCACAACCCTTTGCCACTCAAAATGTCACATTAGAATTAGCATTTGGTACTTGAAAATGGACATTTAGTGACTCACATTACCATTTTTCTGCTAGGCTTTTAGATAGTGAAATTTAAGAACCTAAAATACTGATATTGGTCCTGTATTATTTAAAAATTGTTCACCATTATAATCCTCATTCATATGTATACTATTTGCACAAAACATAACTTAAGTATTGTCATTGATTGACTTTTTGGGAGATGGCCTGTGTATGTAATATATCTCCTCCAGACACCTAACAACTGAAGACCCAGACCTTAGTGTTGGGACTCTGAGGAGTATTCCCATATTCAAGCTGGATAACAAGGTTCAGAAATACAAAGTGATGTTTCAGTCTATGTGTAGCTCTAAGTACAAAGACCATTCAAAGAAAATACACACAATCTATGTAGAACCACTAGCATAAGAGCTTTCCAAAATTAAGCATATATTCCTGTAAGGTTTTGATGAAAGATTCTTTAACAAAGATTCATTTGATGAAAAAGAGAAGAAAGGAAAAAAAGAGAAATTAGTACACGGCTTCTTAAGTAGCCACTGGCCCTTAATATTTTGCACAAAATATGTCTGGTATTGGAGAAAATATTTAAAACAGTTTAAAACAATAAAATTGGGAAGAATGACGTAGTCTTTTAAAAATATTTTGTGAAATAGTAGTTTCCTCTTCAGCTTGTGCATTGCAGATTAGCTCAAATTTGCTAAAATTGCACATTTTATGTTGTTTCTTTCTTAACTCATCAACTTTTCATATGATATGCCTGGCCCCATCATCTCTATAAATATTGAGGGAGAAGCTGCTTCATTTTGACCCAACATTTCCTATTATACATCCAGCAAGTGCAAGTTAAAGCATAGTTTCAATGGGAAAGAAATCCCGTTTTATACTGTGAAGAATTTAAGGCTACTAAAATTCTGAACTGCCTTCAGCTATGCAATCAACCATTTTTTTAGGATTGTGTACAACCACTCTGGGCATATTTTTAAGTGGAGAATTTATTTCTGTTAGGATAATTACAAAACATTTTTCCAATGTAGTAAATTCTAAGGCAAATCTGTATTGTCATCAAATCACTCATTAGTTTTTTCTTTTTCTCTGCTTTTTCATTTATGTCTTGAATGATGAGAGGCTTACTCCCAAGGCTTTTAGACAGTGAAATTTAAGAATCTAAAATGCTGATATTGGTCGTGTGTAATTTAAAAATTAATCACCATTATAATTTTCATTCATATGTATACTACTTGCATAAAACATTATTATTTATCAAATATATTATGGTCTAATTATTTTGAAATATGATTTTGTCAAGAACCAACTTTGGCTACTCATGCTTTATTCTTATTTTTACATAAACATTCCACTTATGTGAAATAATGAGAGCCAGGATTGCTGTCAGGAGCCTTGAGTGCTACTTTCTTTGGATGACAGTCACTTCTGAGCTCTCAAATAAGATACTTACTTCTTCTATGTTTTCTAACACAAGCTTAACCATTCTGTATTGTTGTTTGTTTTCATATCAGTAAGCCACATCATTATATCAAAATAAGTGAGCCTATTTTGTTTTATTTGGTTTCTTTTGCTCTATGTCCAGGCCAGATAGATAATCTGTTATCTCCTGAAGGAGATCATACATTTAAGCAACTACTGCCCTCAGATAACCTGCCCTCCATTTTATCTATTCTTACCAGCTTGTGGAATCTCTCTCTCTTTCTTCTGAATTTCAGCAGCATTTTGGTTTTGCCTCTCTTGTGACCTTCACCTGGACTATATTGCTTTTAATTCATTACAGTCATGTCTTATCCTTTGGATCACACATTAAAAGAAAGGACTAAAGTGTTTAGCATTTTTTCAAATTACTCTCTGTATCTATAACAAGGCTTTGAGTTTTTTTTTTTTTAACTTTTTCCCCCAACATAAAATACCCTGGGAAGAAGAAGGGGGAGATGCTATTATCTCAATTAAGTAAAGAAAATGTTTATGTAGCATGCCTGGGCCTAGAGATTTCTCCTGGACTCCTAACGCCATTTAATTATGCTCCTCAATTAGATGCTTTATTCTGTTTTTATGCCTAAAGATTTTCACAGTGTGCTCTGAGGTGTGATTCCCCATGTCTTTGTAAGGTAGGGGAGGTGTTTTCTCCATTTTGTAGATGGAAAGGAATAATCTAAGAAGTCTTAGTACAGAAATAAAGCTTCGATTTCTCATCCTTTTTTTTTTTCTTTTCTTTTTCTTTTTGTGTGTGGTGCTGGAAATTGAACCCAGGGCCTTGTGCATGCAAGGTAAGCACTCTACCAACTGAGCTATATTCCTAGCCCCATTTCTCATTCTTTCTTAATCCTCATATAATAGCTAGTGTTGGCATTGGCCTCCAAGATGTGCATAAGCAAGCCGTTTGCAAGAATGTGATGAATAGTCTGACCAGGGATCAATACAGAAACAGCCTCAAAGATACTATTTTCACTATAATTATCATTTCACAGAATAACAGAAATTTCATCTATTTCTTTGGGGGGAAAATCAAAATTAAAAACAATCAAAGCACAGTATTCAGGAGTTTGGATATCTTCAGCAAGCAAGCCAGAAATGGTGTGCAGTTGAATGACCTTTGGATATTGCCTGTTTCAACAGTTGTACTCTCCTCCATGTTGTCAGAGAGTATCACTTCATGGTAAGGTTAGTATCCCATCTTCTCCACATTATTCAATTGAGGGAGACTTCGCAGACTGGGTAGTCTGCAGTAGCAGGCAACTGTTCTCCCTCTATCCCACTTGCTGCCCCTCTTATCTGTCTGCCAGATGGAGAGCTTAATTCTCTTTCAGCACCTTCCTTTTTAAACTTCCATCTGTACTGCTATTGCTTTCTGTATCTAGGATCCATAGGCTGGGAGACATTGGATATTTTCAACAATGCCACTCCCTCATCTTGCTCATCTTAATGTCCACAATGACAAATATAAAAATAATTTTAAAAATGTCTGGGGGATTTGATGTGTATCAAGCAATATGCAAGCAGGCACTTTACATACATTATTTTAGTTAATCCTCTCAACATCCCTGCACAGTAAACATACAGATCAGGGAAAAGTATCTCAGCAACATGAAATAATTCACTTTCAGATACACAAACAATAGGAAGTAAAGCATAGACACAGAAAGAAGACAACAGATCAGTAGGGTCAGCACAGACCTTGGAGATGCTTCTTTCTGGAACTCTCTGAGGCAAGTAATGTTACTCCAATGTCCTCACAGCTGCTAAATCATTATTATTGAAATGTATACTAATATTTTCAGAAATAAATGTGTTGGACACAACACATTTTAGAGAAAACTTTTTTGCTCATGAAATTTAACTTGTCTCTACCTCTGAAATGACAAATATTGGATATGGAAACATCATCAGTATCTTAGTTTTCCTAGATGTTAATAATAAGTAAGGTTTGTTTTGCTTTTTATCATGTAACAAATGTCTTATGATATAAGAATATTTTTAATTTTTCCAACTATAGACTTTTGGAACTTAAAGATTGCTCTGAATTCACTTGAATGGTTGGTTGAGATGTGGTTCCACCATTAATGTGACATATCCCTTTTCTTTCTAAAACCTTTTTCCCCTACACTTTTGACTCAAGTTTAATAGTCTGGGACCAAGAAAGCCTAAGTTAATTGTTCAAAGTGCCACCACTAGTTAGTGAGAGGAAGAGAATGAAAAGCAGAGCTCTTGGTTACTAGGAAAAATTACCAGGAAAGGAGAATTTACTTCAAATAATCAAGTAGAGGTTGAGACAACTACCCAAACAATTTGTCTCATATAAATTTTACCAGCTCTTCAATTATCCATTTTCTCTTGCTTTTGAATATTTTCTGACGCATTAATTTTCTATGTGAACAGAACTTTTAGTCAGCTTAGATGTAGGGAACATTCCCCATTCAGGGCATCTGCCTGCAACTTCAGGCATGATTCTCGAAAAGCTTTTCTCTGCTTTATTCTTGTTTTTCTAGTGGAATCAAATGAAGCAAGAAGAAAGAAAGAACA